CACAGCTGCTAAGTTTTACTGAACCTTGCAAACATTGAGAAGACATTTTAAACAGAAACATATTTATGGAGTTGGGGGTATTGAGAGAAGAACAAACAACAGAATACCAGTGATGAATTTTGAAATCACTGGCTAAATTTTGCCTTCTAGCACACCCAATCAATATTTACAGACTTTTTTTTGAATATATGTACCTGAAACCCATTTTTTTCACTTGTGAATCTCAATTATGTGCAATTATTTACTAGTCTGATGTGCTATCCTTTGCAATTCCTTAGTAGATTTTAATAATTTTTTTTTCATTTTAATGAATATATTTTAAATTTATTTTAATTAAAAAAAATATTTATTTGCATCACTGCTTCTTGAACCCACAGAGTAAAACTGAAACATCTAAATAGTTTTGGACAATTCATAAAAATGCCAGATTGTCTTCCCTAGCCTTCTGCACTTCAATTTTGGCACTTCTGGCACACTTATATCAAACCCACACTTTAAAATAAAATGTCTGTCAAACAGAAAAGAACAACATCGATCAGGAAAGAAATTTTGTTATCCATCTTCCAACTGCACATTGCAAAAGTTGCAGTTTCCTAAAAAGGACAACTTTGAAAAAGTAGTTGGCAGTTTAATTTTTAAGAGAACTGAATGACGAGATTTTCTGCTATGTTAATACTTGAAGTTTTACTTTTAATTTTTCATCAATGATAAACACAGGAGTGCAGAGATGTCAGTAGCTGGGTTTACAGAAACTCAACACATAACTAGAGATAATGCTGCAGAACAACTGCAAACACATGGCAGCACCTCCTCACTCTGCCCACAGCTGAATAGAAGGTAAGGCTGAACAAGACAGATGAAAGATTTGTTAGAATTATCACATGGCAAGGTATTAAAATGCTGCAACTTGGCCCAAAGAGGTGACACAAAAAAATAATTTTGTCATGACTGATTTTGTTTGCCACTGGCTTTTTGAAGGTGAAGGCACATGATGGCTTCTTTTTTCTTATGGCTGGGAAAAAGGTGTCCATGTCCTCCAACAACTGTTGCCACTTACTTTCTTGATGCTGTCTATGTCAGCAAGAACCATTTGGACCTTCCTTCTGGAACTCAGGGCCAAACAGCCCAAATTCGAAGATCAGGAGGAAGACCTAATGCCAACAGTTCTTCATCTAGTAGCTCTTCTTTCTATCCTGTTCCCAGGCCTGTGACTCTGGCAAATGACTCATTCACTTACAGGGCATCACAAACTTAGAGAGCTTTCTAAATTGGTACCATTCAGATCCTGCGCTGCAAAGCAGGCTCCTGGGACACAGAGCTGTGATTGAGCCTGCTTGAAAACCAGCTCAGGCTATATGCTTTTGCAATCTGGTGATAATAAAAACCAGCAGTATACCTCCTAGGCCTCTTTTCCAGCCTGTTGATAGTTCTAAGTGTTTAATATGTAACTGGCATCAGACAAAGGGAAGAAAGCCTATAGGGTCAGAAATAGAAAACACACACTAAACCAGATGCATTGCAGCTATCATAGTTTCCACTTACTTTTGCACATCTTTAATAATTGCCAGTCTGAAATGGGACCAGCTGACAGGCTGCAATATATAACAAATATGTTCATGTTTATATGTGTGCCTAGCTTCCTTTCCCAAATGTACATGTTTGAAAAGCCTCGTGTTTTGCAGCCTCACCCAAACATCTGCAATCATTTATGGACTAAAACAGCTTGCCATCTCAGCCTAGGTTTTTCAATGCACACTACAACTGATGCCATTGTGGTATTTTGTATTTTTAAAAGAAACAAATATGTTTCCAGGCAAACCACATCACAGAACATGCCATAGTTATCAGTTCAAAGATCCTCACTGACTCAGCAGCTAGTGCTGTGTTTCATCTAGTCTTCCTGAGGTCAGGCAGGGAAATGGTAGCCCAGGAATACACATCTGTGTGTATACCAACAGCTTCAGTCTTCAGTTGTTCTCTCCTCAACTGCCCCCTGAAATAATTCTCAGCAAAGCACAAAAGCTGTCAAGTACAGGCTTGGCCAAAGCTTTCATATGAATCACACTGCATTTTGGAGTGGCTGTGTTTGTGTGCCATTTTAGGGATGAATGAAAACAGACTGATGGAAATGGACATTGTTACTGCCCTCACAGTGCCATCACATTATTATAAAGAGTCCCTTAAACTTATATACAAAAATGTGTCCTGCTTACATTTTATCTTTTCCATAGCCAACACCAGAACTAAGGTTAGAAATATACTCCCAAAGGATCCTGGAAAGTGGAAGTAAGGCAGGATTCAGGATGGACCACTTAAACCTTTGCTTCTCCAATTTAGCAAAAGAAACTAGACATAGTTTGGATTCTTAAAGGACCCATCATGGATCCAGGCTCCAGTGAGAAACAGTGATTAGACTGGACACACCAGAGGCAAAACAGAACTGGCTCTGGGGCTGCTCCTGAATGAACCTGAGCATGGTTTGAGTTTGTAACCTCATGCAAATTCCGGGCTGAGGCCTCTGAAACTTTCCTGATGCAAATTCAGCTGCATAAATGAAACTAAGGTGTTGTAGTAAAGGGGAGGAGTGGATGCTAACAGCTTAGCATTGGCAGGCACTGATTAAATACTTTGATGACTTTGATGACAGGTTAACAGTGATAAAGTTCCATCAAGTTCTGAAGGCATCCAGATATTTCTAAAGAAATATCCTGTACTGAAATTAGAGGAATAAGCTGTTCAGGGGATTCAAAGGAGTGATGAGTTTTTAAATATGTAAATAATTTGGATTTACCTTGGTAAATAGGTTTTAACACAGCTGAGATAAGGAAAATGTGCTGTAGCAGAAATGTAGACATTGTATTTCAGATGAGGTGGAAGGGCTTCAGTTTCAGAAGACCACAAACATCAAATGAAGTGTCTTAATATCTTGATATAACAACTTCAGATAGAAATAAAGAAAACAAAAGATGGCTGTAAGAGTCATTCAGAGTTTTACTCCTGGAAATCAGTCTCTGTGTTACCACTGGGATTACTATCCACTGCTTCTTTTCCCAGTTTGAGGTCTGACATATGGACACATACAGTGACGTGAATAAAATAAATTTTTATCATAGTTTATATGTCCTCATGAAAGGGCTCCAAAGAGTGAGTGTTCTTTAAAGTAGGCATTCAAAAGCACAGGTATCTAAAAACGTGTTGTTAAAGGAGAGCTATATAAGCTTTACAAGCTGTAAATTTTCCCAAGGGCAAGATGTTTTTTTTTTTTTCTTTCTTCTCACAATTGAAGATTTCTTTTCACAGACCCAGATCCTGAAAGATCCTAGTGAGAAATGATTCTTCATGTTACAAATGCCTCCTCGCTGTCCCTGCAACCTGCCTAGCAGAGCTTTTTGAGCTTTAAGGTAATATCACAGTGAATAGCTTTGAATGTAAGTCATGCTTGGCATTTCAGATTTTAACTGTTTATAGTGCTCTTGGGTTTATACAAATATGACAGTTCCAATGTTTGCTCTGGCACTTTTGTCTTAAGAACTATTCACCATGATTTTATGTTTTGGGTGATGTGTTTCAGATCTATAAAACAGTTTGTTTTGGATATCTGTACTTAATGGAGGACAGTTGCTACAGCCACAAGGTCCTGTGCAGCTTCTGTCCATTCTCCAGCAAGCCAACATTTTCCAGGCCAAACATCAGGATTCATCATAAAAGCTGCTGTAGAAAAAAGTTTATTTCCCATCACATCAGTGCTACAATGCCCTTGCAGAAGAAACACTTGCACTACTCAGGAGCTGTGAGCAAGTCACAGAGAAACGGCACAGGGATGTGTTTGAAAGTCTGTAATGGAAATGTCCCCACTGAATGGGCTGTTCACAAAGGATCACTTCAGCTCCTTCCAGAGCATGTATTAAGGACAAGATCTGATGGCATTTGTTTTCACTGGTAGCAGTTTTTCCCCCCTCTTTCTCTCTCTTTCTTATTTTTTTTTTTTTAATTAAGTCCATTTTCACAGCATGGGTCCATAAAACAGCTGTATTAGCAGAGTTGGAGGGAGAAAGCAATTGAAACTGGACTAGGGATACTATACGGAAATATAATTTCTGAAGACAGCATGTCACCACTAAAATCTAACTTTAGGTCTGACTTTACACTGACTATGAGAGCAGCGCAGGGAGTTTTATTTTCCTATTCTGAAGCTGGTTTTATAAGAACTTCTACTTCATACTGTAGGAAGTATAAAATTTATACTGATTTTTATTGATTTTTACCTTCAAAATGAGGAGCAATTACTTACTTTGTAACCAAGGAATCATACCTGACTTCACAGAGATACTGATATTTGAACAGATTTGTAAAACCAAAACTACTTAAACATCTAGTCTGCATAGAGGTTTCTGAGAATTTTGCCTATCTACATCATCAAATACATAAATACAGTTCTCCTCCTCTACATTCAGGTTGGTGTAGTTGAGGCAAGAGTGTGATTCCAGTTCTGTCAGAGTTCTTTTTTACCTATCAGAAGAAAAAGGTTTACTGCCTGGATAATTAATGTATGGTTCTGTTTTAATTAATCAACAATTAAACACCCACCTCTAATAACGCCCAGATCTTTTAAAAGATCTTGACAATGCAAGTCATCCACCCGGATGTATGAAGCGTCTTCTATGTTCGCCATTGTAAGAATGCCAAGATCCTCTTTTTGTGCTGGTGAGCTCTGTAAAGCTGACACACCTAAGAAGAGAATAGGCTCATCTCCATTAGATCTTACACACCTGCAATAAAACTGTTAGGAAAAATAGTTTTGTTGCAGAATCCTTCACCTTGGCAGCATTGTGAAAGCCAGGGGTATACAATTTAACATTGGGCTCAGCCGGGATTTACTTTGATATTCATCAATGAAAGGGCGATTTTTACAGAATACCCTTTTGAGAATAGAAAATAGAGCTTTGAAGTCTTCTGCTGAAAAGACAGGTGAGCTGATCTTTGCTTCATATTCCACAGGTGACACTCAGTGTAATGGCTGTGGAAAGTTAAGCACCGTTGCAACAACAGAAACTAAAAGCAGTCAGAGCAGAAGCATTCATTACATGCACGGAAAAAGCAGACAGTGACTCTCCACTTTAGTCCTTTGTCTTGGAAGTTCAGCAGTGAATTGGAGAAGCTTTCCACCTGCCCCTGCCATTGTGTGAAGTGTAATGGAATTGGGTCAGTTTGTTCACTGAAATGTTCTTCTAAAAGATACTGGCATAGATTCACCTTGGGACTGACTGTGTGTTTTCTTTCAATCAGTTACTGCAAATTGAGCAGCTGCAAAAGCCTCTCTATGGAGAGCCCAGGGGATGCACTTTTCCTGGTCTTGGCTAGCTGAAACTTCATGAGCAGAAGGCAGCCAGACTTTCAGCAGGCATAAAATGCAGGTAGAGCTGCTGAAAGGGCAGCCTGTTTCCAGTACGTAGATAACCCACTTGTTTATTTCCTATCGGTGTATCCAGATTTGCTTCCATGGAAGTCTAGGTCAGCTGGGGAGATGGTTGGAGCCCAGTCATTTTCTACAAGCAGGACTCTGGGGGTATGTGGACTTTACCAGTCAAGACACAGGCACTCTGACCGAGTATCAGCCTGTGTGTGGATGGACCAGGAGAAAAGACTACTTTAATAAACAAGTGAAAAAGGTTACTTCTTACTGCCTGCTCATCTGGCTCTTGACACTGAACTGCAAGGCTCTACTATTGTGAAGAGATGTAAAAAAGTTTACTGGAAGGTGAGTGGGTGTTAAGCAGCAACTGCTTGGTACAAAGAAGCAGAACATTGGAATCAGCACAAAAAACTGGTGAAGAACACCAACTCTTTCAAACATGATTAGAATTAATGGTTTCACCATTTACATTTTGTGGAGTCATGTCACCTGAATATTTTTCGTCGGGTAGAAGCCTCACACTATGTAAAACATCGTGTCCGGAGGCACTCCCTTCTCCAGTAGAACAATAACTCCCTCTGGTGTTTGCCTGCTATTGTTACTGCCTCCGCCACAGCCAGAGGAAGGAAACACTGTCAGATGATGTATGAACTATAAACACTCTTTCCTTAACCGATGGCATTTTACACTTCGGGCAGAAAAAAGGCCATTGCTTCCACCGGGCCGGCCCCAGGGGCACTCAGGTCCGGGAACATCATTGCATCAGGAAAAGTGGAATGCCGAACTCCCCTGCTGCCGAGGGCTCATGCTGCCAGAGACTCATTTACATGATCCCTGCATTTATTTAATTACACGAACAGTAGGCTTATTGCAATGTGTCTGGATGCTTTATTTGATGAATGCTGGAACTTACCAATCCAGTCCTGAGCAGGTTGGGATACACATAGGGATATGTCAAATGGCTGGATGATAGTTCAGAGTTAATGAATTGCTGTGCTCAGCTCTTGGGACAGACAATGTGGAACTGTCATTCAGCTGCAAACATATTTACAGGAATGCTGTCACAGCTTTGAGGCTCAAATCTGACCTACAAGTAAGTTACAAGCTACATCTGCAGGCAGAGGAAGAAAAATGAGATGCAAGAGAATTAAGCTCCTGCCCTTTGGGCTAGATCATATCAATCTATTGCCATAATAATGCTGATTGTAAATTTTCTTAATCTAAAATTTATGATAAAATCTAAACGTTTAGTCTTGAATATATATTGCACAATAATTTTAAAGTACACACTCAAAATTTTTTTTCAGATTTCAGCTGCAATCTGATGGTGGAAACAAATCTCAAGACAAGACGAAAGACACTAAATGTTTGAGTTATGCATTTTGCCAAAGAGAAGAGGCTATTTTGATGGGATGTTTAATAGAAATTTCTTCCTGTGATCATTCAACTCGATGCTCACTCCAAACAGCCAGAGGCTTTTTATATTTGACCTAAATGTCTGGATTTTTTTCTCTTTTCTTTAGCGTATCACAGAACAGAAATCTCTAAGCTGATTATTATTGCTTAATTCTCTTTTGAATGCAAACATCTTTGCATATTTCAGACAGGGCTATATAGAGCTGAAATCAGAAAAGCTAAAAGAGCTTCAGAGCTCAATCTAAATCCCAACTGTCTGGCTCTCTGGCCAATGCCTTGTACTATACAAAGTGTGTAACCATCCTACACCTTTGATGTAAAACAACCCTCTTTTAATGTGCTGTAATCTCTTATTCCCTTTGTCTCTCAAATAATAATCCTCTTGCTCATGGTAATCCTTAAAATCACATATGCTCTTTAAAGCTTTTCTTTTGGAAAGTATTCACACCCATTTTTCTGGGCACTGGCAACTAAATATTACAGACAACCTGATTCTTCTGACTTTGACCAAGACAATTGGAATTTTTTGTATTCCACATTTATTGCTTGGCTGGAACTGGGTCAACAAAATGAGCAAACAGTTTCTCGTTGTCCAACAGAACCACAGTGTGCGGACTGTTTGTTTGGCCAAGGCAGAGGCACAAGATGTTTGGAAGAGTTAACAGGAAACAAGTAAAATGACATTTTTATTCAGGTTATAAAACAGAAAATGAAGATTAGTTGTCTAGAATGATTGAAGAACATGTTGTCCTGGACTGTTAAAACAAGATAGTAAAAGAAAAATTCTCACCTCCTCCACAGTAATAATCAAGCCTGGCTCCTGGACACTTACAAACATGCTACTGGCTACTCAAAGTTTCATTACTGTAAGATTAAATATTAAATATTTTTAGGTATTGCCACCCTAAATCAGAGGTAGAGGTGGAGACTAGAATTACTTAATCAGATCAGCATGTTGATTTAAATGATCTAATAATGACAAAATGTGATGATTAGAATGGAAGCCTCGTCAGATGCAATATCCCAAATGACATAAACTGCTTTAATTGCAGGACATGATGAATATGAGCCTAAGAGTTCAAAATGAGAGATCTTTTAAAAGAAAGATCTTTTAAAAGGTCTTAGAAGATCTTTTTATTTGTTGATAAATGTGCACATTGCCATAAGGAATTTGCAGGAAGCTAGGAGGAGTGCTGAGGCATAGCTTCCAAAGATACAACAGCACAACCTGCTGATCAGACCACCTCATCTCGTGTGTCCAAGCCCAGCCACTTTGCCTCACTCACTCCCTAAAAGACCAAGCACAGAATTTTTTCCAGGTTTGGTTTTTACAGAGGGCAGGGCCTGCTGTTCTGTCAGCAGGATAGATCCTGGTTCTGCTCCTGATATCTAGGAGCGTTTTACTTTTTTGCCCTTGTTGGAAGGTCCTTCTCCCATCCTTACCCCTCTGCACTGAGCTGTCTTACACAGACATGTTATCCCCCCTCTCCTGAGCCATGAGAGCAGGCAGAGGGAGGGATCAGTCCTGGGCTCTGGGTCAGCTGCTGACTCACAGCAGCTGCCCTGGGGATGATGGATACACAGACCCCAGCTGAACAGCACAGCTCTCTGGAGTTATGAGTTAGTGTTTCACCGAGCTTGTTACCTGATCTTGTCACTACAAGAGGCTTAAAGTTGCTCCCCAAGTTCTGTGAAACTCTCATTCTTGGACAAAATCAAGGTAATTTTGCACTTCCTTCCTATAGATTAATACCTACACCTCACGAGTCACAAACCAGAACACAAACTTCCCAAATTCGAGAGTCTGAGAAGAGGGATCTTGATGGTTTCTCAACCTAAACAGCTGTCAACTTTCGATGATCAGGGATGCCTCACAGCCCTTCAGGTTGCTCTTTGCAGTGAACTGTGGTAGCTCAAGGAACGCCACCCAGGCTTAACTAGAACAATAAATAATACCAATAAACACTCCAAGCTGAAGTGGGCTGCATGTGGGAATCAGGCAGTACTATTTCTAAAAGAAAGGCAGGAAATTAGTCTCTCTTATGCAATTTCAAATGTTTATAGTAAATCAGCAAAATTAATGGTTGTAGCAGATAGCAACTCTGCTCTGACTGAGAAATTCACTGTACTCCAAGCAAACTAGCCAAATATTAATTTCCTTACAGCTGTTTTCACCATTTATTTCCTTGATTTCCCAAAATGGTGTCAGCTGAATTTTCTCATGAGTGCAAACATTTGTGTTGCAAAAAATAAGAAACTCGAGAATTTAATCCATTTTTAGGAAATAAAGTTAACTTATCAACTATAAGTGCTAATCTTCCGATCTCACATGAAATCCAGAAACTTCATATAGATATAAAACACTTAGGTAACTTGACTCTTTGCACAAAGATTTAGATTCTAAACATTGATGGCAAACACTTGTCAAAAGGAACCAAGTTTAATTTGGTAAGCAGAAAAAGGCGAGGTATAACACCAAAGTTACAAAAAAGATCCCCTACGAAGATGCTGAACAAAATTTTTCAAGTAGATGTGCCAATGCATATAAAAAATGGAACCTCATCTCTTCCATTTCTTTCTCTAAGGAGGATCAAAAGTCCAGCTATCACAGGGAGCATCCTTGCTTTCTTTAGTCCTCACCGAGGTGATGACAAACAACTCTAATCTGCCAAAGCTTAATTAAGTAATCACTTTCCCAGTCTTTGTTAGCAGTGTATTGATTAGACAAGCATAAATATTAAATTTTGAAATATGTTGCTTTGTTCAGTTTCTGAACTTTTAAAACCCATGAGTTCACTCCTAAATCACTTTTAATGTTGATTGAAAAACAATTTATTGAGTTAAGTATATATTTAAAAAAGACTTAAAAATCTTAATTGAAATGAGTTTAAATGAACAGAATTAAAATAGAGGAAAATTTAAAACCATGGCATATAAGCTAATACTATGAGAAGAAGAAAACTTTAGTATTCAGGTGGGAAGCTTAATGTTATAAGCACTCACAAGACTAGAATCAGAAGGTCTAGAGTAAAATTGAAGCTCCAATTCCCTTTTTATTTTATTTTTTTTTTCATCAGTGATACAGGGCCAATAATCCTTACTTTTCTCATTTGTGGATTGTTTCAAGGATGAAAAATACAATGTCAATGTTGAGTATTATCATAATTAGTTTTATAAGTGGGAATGGAATGATGAAGATATATCACAAAAGTAAAGAAATTGGGTATTTGAAACCATAAATGCACAACACTGCACACACATCAGGAAATAGTCTGGTGAGGAAGAGAAATGAATCTTTAGTTTCTTCAGTGGTAATGAAATAAAATTTCAGAAATCAACATATGAATTTTTTTCCTTGCTATTTCCGACTAAGGAGGTTCATTCTGAAAATGCTTATGTAAAAATTTTTGGAAAACTAATACTATCACAAGTGCAAGTATATTTTGATGTATGTGTGGGTAGAGTCTGTGATTTTCACTTAACAGAAGAGTGGTTGCATAGACAAAGAACAGGAGTATGTAACTAGTGAAATTTTGTAGTCAAATGAATTCTAAACCAACTAGTGATACATGAAAAAGGAAACTACAAAGTCCTTTTTAATTATCTCTCTGTAATAAAAAAATTAACTCTTCCCACCTGGAGAATTCACAGTGGACACAAATGGCATAATAGTAGAACTAACCACAGAAGAAAAAAAAAATCTCCTTAAAATATTAAAATTAATGTCAGCAAAAGTCATCAGTCATAGTTTAAGATAACACATGACAAGCATAATTGGCTTATTATTTTTCCAGGCAGTCAGTAGAAGAAGAAAAAACCTCACAAGTTACAGCAATGTATCAGTTGCTTATGAAATAGTTTAGCCATATTGCCCTCTAAACATGTATGTCTATATACCAGGCAAAGGTCTGACTTTGTTTTTTGAATCATAGACATCAGCTGTTTACCTCTTCTCTGCAGGGGATTTTTAGGATTCACTGCACTGAAAAACATGGGAGTGTAATGCTTTGGAAACTCTGTCCCTTCAACTTTTTCACTCCTAATCTCAGCAAAACTTCACAGCATCAAGTACCTGCTTATCATTCAAAACAATGTTACTTAGTGGCATTTGGCAAGTTTTCTTTCAGTCAAAATTAATCCTACATTTCCATTTATGGCTGAAACACAGAAATTCCAACTCAAGTCATGTTCTAGGTATTTCTAAATCAATATGAAGGCTTAAACTCCCATGAGATTTTTATGTTTAGGTTGCAGAAACAGGTTGATGTAGTTATTCTTTCAAAAATAAACTCATGGCCATCCTAAATTTCATTCTTAAAAAAAAAACTTTAGAATCAATTAAGGGAATCTGGAATACAGCATGGGTAACCTGCATCAAAGTGTATGAACCTTGTTATTTACCATGGATGTATCAATGCTTTTTGTGACCTGAGGATCCCTCTGTACGTTATGTAAGAGGATAAGACCAAAACAACAGAATTTCAAAAGTGACTCTACAGCTATTAGATTTTGAATGCTGACACGCTTACCTGGTGCTTACATGGTGCTAGACCTCTCTGTCCTGATTAGAATGTGGAAGAATGTTAAAGTGAACCAACTGGATATAAAAAGTAGAACACCATGATACCACAAATGCTTGTGTACCAGCCATGACTGCTGATAAAAGATGAAAAGTGTCTCGGTGAGCCCTTCCACCAGCTCCCTCAGTACTTTGGGCGATCCCAGCCAGCCCCATGGACCTGTGCGTGTCAAAGTGGTGCAGGAGGTCACTGACCATTTCCCCTTGGATTATGGAGGTTGACTCTGCTCCCTGTTACAGTCTTCCAGCTCAAGGGCTGGGTATCTGGAGAACAACTGATCTCACAAAGATTGAGACAAAAAGGTATTAGCTAGCTTGGTCTTTTCCTCATCCATTTCCATTTCCATTTCAAAGTAGCATTAAAACCTTCAGTTAAGATATGCAGGTCTATCACTATGTCAAATCCTAAGCTTTTAACACTAAACACACTATTAGTGTTGTCATGTCTGTCAAAATTCAACAATGTCAGCAGATATTAAATGCAGTAGCACCGATTATGTTGTCCCAGCTGGCTGGCTGTAGCGGGACTTGCCACAGGACCGAGTTCCTCTGTGAGGGTTCCAAGCCTCCCTGTCTCCTTCTGCTCCCTGAAGTCCCTTGGGGTGACCTTCTGGGCTTTTCATCTTCTCTAAAACACCCTGGGAGAGCTTGAGCACGGGGTAAGCTTTCTTGGTGATGGAGCAGCAGTGAAGGGATTTAACAGGTGGCTGGTGGCTTGACTTTCTGTTTAATTGACCATCCTAATGCTGTTGAGATCAAATTATATTGTTTACAGTGTGTTATGAAACACTACTTTGGACAGGCTATTTTTCATTATTACTGAAATCAAGTAACTGAATGCAAAGGACAGCTGTGCAAGAAACATATTTTGTAGCCAACATGGTATTGTATTACACTATACTATCAAAAGACACTCAGTGAATGTCAGGGTGTGTAAGTTTTCACTGGCTCAAGTCTTCTGAAACTGCATCTTTCCTGAATGAATACATATTACAAGAAAAACAAAACCAAAAAAATTGAATTTCAGTTTCCAAAGAATTTCTTGTACAGTCGCTACATACTCAGCTCTCTACGGATCAATTTGAAATAATAAAACCAAATATATATATATAAGACTTATGAAAGCTTTTCACGGCATAAATTGATAATTTCAACTTTGATACATCAGGCTCTTACAGGATTTGAAAGAGGCAGCTGCACAGAATAATTAGGCAGCTGGAGATCAACCTTCTGCAGCAATATAAAGCTCCAGTTTCTGAGCCTGCAGGGATATGCGATATCAGATTTTAAGCAGTGACGTCTTAACATGCAGAAGAGCTGTCACTGCTGTTTTCAGTCTCAAGAAGGAAATTATTTCTGGGGGTAGAGCCAAATTTAAAGAGGAAACATTTTGGGAGGGTATTAAAGCTAAAGCTGGAGGCTCTTTGAAATGGCAAGCATGTTTGAAACAGCAAAGTTTAAGCCTTTCTTTTAAACATTACTTGTCATTACTTCTACCTTTCCCAAAATACTTGATTTTTAACCTTGTTTACATTGTGTTCTAGTGCATTTTTGTGTGATAAGGCTTGCAACTCAGTGTAAAAATGGTAACAGCTTTATTTCAGCCTTTTCCAGATCAACTTTATTCCAGCCTTTTTCAGTTTCTGCATTTCTGTTAAAGAATAGCTTTTTTATATTTGAAATTTTAGTAGGATGATTGGTTAAATCTGTATACCATTAAATACTGCACAGAGAGCATAAAAAGTGCTCTACATGTGCCAACATTGGATACTGGAAAAACTGGGGGACCTCTCTGAGAGCTAGTCAGGTACTATAGGATTCCCAACAGTTCATGGCTACATTTGAATCTTCTGCCTACAAACAAACTCCATATGACAGTGGAAATGACTTAAGAGTCTAATTTTTAACACAAATTGTTACAAAATCCAAACACTGAAGGTCCCAGAGAAAACCACACACAGAGAGGCATAAACTACAATTTAAACTAAATTGAAGCTGGGGAGAAATCAGAGGACAGAAGATTAGTTATGAAGTCTATATTATATATTTTTCTGTATAATCATCTATCTGCACATAATACATAAGTTTTCCTTGAGGATGCTCTCAATATATGCCCTGTACTCAATCTGCAAAAAACTCCCACAGTCTTTATAAGCCTTAACTCAGCACATTTGGCTATTTCTTCACAAAATGGCTTCTAATTCAGTAGAGATTCAGTAGAGGAGGTGATCACCTCCTACATGCAAAGGAGAGCTCACTGTGACTTCACTTCTATTTCAGCAATAAACCAACCAAATAAGCATCTCCAGCCAGGAACCTATGAAGCAAGTTCAAAGCAGGCAGACATACTCCTGCCCATAGCAAGGGGTTGGAACCAGCTGATCTTGAAAGGTCCCTTCCAGTCCAATCTGTGATTCTGTGTCACTCTGATACCTGCAGGAAATTGCTTGTTTAACTCCACACAGAAGCTTTGTGTCAAATGCAGGGAACAATCCAGCTCCACAGGGCAGCTTTTGTCTGCTTTCCTGGGCAATTTTCACTCACAGCTTCTTCATCAAAATGTTCTCCAGTCTTATTAATTTCTATCCCATCTTGTTGAGTCACTTTGAATTTCCTATATTTTAAAAATCAACTACTTCAGGTAAAAGTTTAGTAAAATTTATATTTTCAAGTTTAAAAGCTCTGGGTCTTTTTGAGAAAGACCTTATTTACTATAAGGAATAGGATGAAAATTATCTACCTCAAAACATATCAGACTTGAGGTTCTCTCCCAGCTGGTCCCAGCTGAATCTCCCTGTGATCATGGTTGGTCCTCTTAGAAACCACAGTTTAACATTCTTCCTGCTGTGGCTTGCCACCTAAGTATTTTTTCCTTGTCTGTCACTATTGTGCTTAACTTTTAGTTTTAGGCTCACAAAAATGCCGCTCTGTCTCCTGCCTATCTCAAGAGTCAACAAGCAGTTTATAGGTATCCTATGGGGTGACTGCTTTGTCTTCCTCATATTTGCTTTTGGCTCAGGCAAACACGTGGCCCTGGAGTTAAACATCTGTATTCCAAATTTTTTTTTAAAAACAAAGTACCTCACCATGGTCTGGTACTTGAAAGTTTTTTCCCCCCCCTCAGCAAGTGAGAAAGCTTTATTTTGGGAAGAAAAATATCTTGTTGAACATATTATGCATTATATTTCTCTTTTAAAGATGACCATGAAAATCAGCAAGTGCTTACATTCTGCTGCAGTCTCTTCATTAAGAAGCAATGCTTGCAGCAATCAAGATTTTAAGGGAATCAGGCATCCATACATTAAGTGAAGATCTCTGGAAAAAATTATTAGCTCTTTGCTTTAAGTGATTCCCTTTGTTCCCACATGATCATATATGAATAAGTAAAACCAACTGTTCTCAGGCCTCACAAAGGTGATCTTTCTCTGTGTGAATTTAAGGCCAGAGAGCTGCAACAATGCTTAGTAGGGCTTATTGCTGATGCTAATGAAGAAGAATTGGGTCAGAGGAGGAAGCAGCCACATCTCATTTTTATCACTGGTCTGCTGGAAAGCTGTGACCCACATTTGCAGTTACTACCAAGAAAGTTCTCATTTTTTCTCTTTCCAGTTTGAGAAGCTCCTTCGTCAAAAGCACAACCAGGTATCCTTCAGGAAAATGTGGATTCATACTACAACTTTCTGCCTGGGACCAATTTGTTCACTAAATTAGGGGTGGAAGTAATGCAACTTGTTGATGCAAGGAATGTAGACAGGAAAATCCA